GCGCAGCGTTTTGAGCGACTTGGAGCGGGGCGAGTTCTATGACAGAAAGGGGAAAACAACACGTGAGTGGCACGCTCTTCTACGCTGTCCACTTTGCTGCAGTCCTTCGTACGACATGAGGCCGTGGCGCAGAGGGTGAAAAGGACCAGCACGAAGAAGGAGATGTGGGTCGCCATCTTCGCCGCGGTACTACTTTCAAGAAAGCCGGAAGCTTCCAACAGTTGATATACCCGTATATTATATTCAGTTTAGTCGGCAAAAATTGGTCCAGACAGAATGCCAAGAATGCTAGGGCTGTGCGCGCGAAAGGTGGAGAATTCCGTTGTCGGGCAAACAACTGCTTGGGCCAAGAAGAGTGTTCCGTTCGACAGCGAAAAAAAACAGGCTTGTGCACAATAAGGAATTTGAATGAACTCCTCGTGAACAACACACACCCACACACACCCACACACACCCACAACACGGTCGTGGCTTTGCTGTCTCCCCCTCCCCGCGAGCGGGGAGAAGAGTCTCTTGAGCTCTTTACATCACAACTTCTCCTCTTTAATGCGCTGCAGCAGCTCCTCCATCGTGGCAGACACCTTACGTTCGTCTTCTTCCGTGGCGCCTCCATGGTCCTGGAGGTGCTTTTGCTCTGGCTCTGGAAGCGCCGCAGCCGAGATCGTGGTCGGGGTCGTCGTCGTTGTCGTCGTCGTCGTCGTCGTCGGGGTGGTCGGGGTCTTGGGCGGCGAGAGGGTGATGCCGAGGGCGACAAGCTTGGCGATTTTGTCCTCCTGAGCCTGGAGCCCTTTGTTGATCCGGTACTGCTGGGTGTAGACCCACTTGCCGAGCGTGGTTTGCTTCCCCGGCAGGTGCTGGTCGTGCGCAGCGAGGTACTGGCACAACTCCTCGTATCGCACCTCCCACGGCACCTTCGTATGGCCCTCTTTCTCCTTTACTTCTCTCTTCAGCCTCTTTTTCGGGTTGTTCTTCTTTGCCTTCTCCTCCTCCGCCCTCCTCTTCTTGATTGTCGTTTTTTCCTTCTTCGCCTTCTTCTTCGTTTCACGTTTCTTCTCCTTCCCCTCTCTCCTCTCGTTCTCGCGTTCTTTCGTCTTTGCCGACCCTTTCTTTTCTTCGGTATCGCTGCTGTCTTGGGTCCGCTCTGCTCGCTGCTTCCACTTCTTGGCCTTCTCGCAGCCGGACTTGTTCGCGAACTCGTCTTTCCAGTCCCACTTGATGCCCAGGCTCTCGAGCCTCGACTTCCGCGAGCTGCTCAGTAGGCCCCGATTCTGGAGCGCGATCTGCTCGTAGAGCCACTTGCCGGTTGAGAGGAAGTAGGGCGGGTTCTGGCCGTCGGTCGCGGCGCGGAAGCGTTCGAGCTTCCGCAGCTGCCCCTCCCAGATCGCCGTGTCGCCGCCCGTCCTGACTCTCCGCTTGGGCAGACCATCCCTAAGAGGCTCCGGCTCCACTTCCTCCTTGGCCCGCGACGATGGTGACGGCGTCTCCTTGCATCGCCGCCGACGGAACGGCTTCACGCCGAGGGCGCGCAGCCTGTTGCGTTGGCTGGGATCGAGTGGGGACCAGCTTTTCTTGTTGTAGTGAAGCCAGTTGTGAAGGGTCTTGCTCTTCGCCTTGCTCGGCAGTCTGCCGTGTTCGTCGAACCACGCCTTGACGAGCGCGTACTTGGCTTCCCAGTTCTCCCGCCGCTGCGCGGGGCTGAGGAGGAAAGCAGGCTTCCGCGGCTGCGAAGACGTGGTCGAAGCCTTTGTCGCCTCCGCTACATCGGGCGCCCCACCTGCACGCCTCCGCCTCTCTTCCTTTGCGCTCTCCGGCTCCACTCTTGCGCCCTCTGCTCGCCGCTCTTCCTCCTGCTGCTCGTCCTCCTCATCGTCGGTGTACCAGTAGCGCTCGGTTTCTTCGCCTTCATCATCGACCTCCTCCTTCCCCTCCGCTTCGGGCTCTTCGCCATGATCCTCATCGCTATCTTCGTCGAAGTCCCCCTCGTCGCCGCTGCCGCTGCTTTCGCTGTCGTCCTCGCGATCTTCGCCGCTGCTCTCGTCGTCGTCGTCGTCGTCGGTGAATACCATGCCGAACAGGTTGACCACCTTGGGCGAACCCAGTTTCTCTGGCGTCGGCCGCGGTGCGGCTTCCTCCTGCTGGATTTCAGCTTCCTCGTCGTCGCTTACGACATTGAGGTCCAGCTCGAGCCAAGCAGGCCGCTCCCGCTCAGCCTCCTTCGCCGCTTGGCCGCCGTCGCGCAGGACTAATTAGTGTTGTGAGATTTGTTAGATGCGGGCACGAGGTTAGACCTCCGGTTGAGCTATTGGGCACCAGGTCACGCTCTCGCTGGAGAGATGCGAGCACGCACCTTGCTTAACGGCGACCGAACACGTCGGCTGCTGCACCAGCTCAGTGCCCGTCGAGACTTCGTGTGCGCGCCCGTCGCCAGCTTCGTCGCGTGGTTCGGGCTTCACGATCGCCGGCAGCGGTGTCGGCAGTTTGCTCCAGCCGCGAGCCTTCTCGCGCTCCCAGTTCATCTCGTCGTCGGCGCGCCAGTCTCGCTGGTTCTGCCAGTTCAGAGCTTGTCCGCTGGGCGGGTACGTCGCTGGGGATGGACCCTGACCGGACATTTTCCGCAGGCGCTCCTCCCCTTGCACGTGCTTCTTGCCGCGGAAGTGCTCGAACATCTGCTTCTGCGAGTTGAGCGTCACTTGGCACATCTCGCAGTGGTGGCGAAATCTGGCAGCACGCTGCGGAGGCGGCAACGACCCGGAGTCCGGAAATGCCTGTTCCACCTCGTCCATCTCGGCCTCCTCTTCCTGCTCCCTCTGCTTCTGCTCGTGCAGCTCCCGAGCTACTCTACGCTCGCGCTCCTCCTCCTCCTCCTCCTCCTCTTCCGTCCGTCGCTGTCGCTGTTGGTCCTGCCGCTGCTGCAGGCTCCGTTGCTCTCTCCTCTCGAGATGCATCTCTTCGTCGGGCGATTCCTCCTTGATTCTCCTCCCTCGACTTCGGCTTCGGCTTCGGCTGCGGGGCCGCTTGGCACTGGGCTCAGACTGCTCTCTCGCTCTTGTGCGGCTCGTCCCTCGGTCCCGTGAACGCCGGCGCTCGCCTTCATCCGGCAGCAGTTCGCTTCGGTGCATCGGGCGCAGCTCACGGTCGGATCGCCGGCGGTCCTCTTCTCCCCTCTTCTCACCGTGCGGTATCGTGGCCGGCGGCGGTGTGCGGTGACCAGCGAAGAAATTACGACGCGCCCGGTAGGCCTCATCTATGCGCCGCGCCTCTTCGTCGCGCGCCCACTGAAGCCACAGCTTGTGGAACCGGTGCTCGAGCTGCTGCACTTCGGCAATGGCGCGATCCCACTCGGGGGTGGCCTCCATCTTCCGCTTCTCGCGTCGCACTTCCTCCTTGATACGGTGCATGACCTGCTCTTCCATGTTCTCGGTGCACTGGCGCGCGAATCGCTTCCACTCGTCCTCCAGCATATCTGCTGCTGTGGTCTCGCTTGTCGCAGCAGCAGCAGCAGCTGTGATGCTCCTTGTGCCGTGGTGGTTGCGAGGGTGGGCACCGTCGTCTGGGTCGAGACGCGGTCGTTTGCGGCTGCCCGCCCCGTCGCCATTCGAGGCCTGCCACAGATCAACGAGGCAGCAATAAGAATTCAACAGACCATATTCCTTCGCATGATAAAATGAAATCAAGCCATTTGAATGGCCATCATAACTCTTAGTAATTCGATAAAATAAAAAAAAACGTAGAGTGAATGATTACGTACAAGATTGCGCTCCTCGCGGGATACGCTGTCTCTCCTTATGCCCACCTCCGGGGCAGCATTTGATGCCTGCTCCATCATCATCTTTTTACTGCACGCTTAAATTTAAACCTAATACAAAGCTTCACGCGGGCATGCCCGCGGTCGTCCTGCACCAGATCCATGCACCACCGAGCGGTTTTTGGTTCGCTCGGCGGAGGGGTGTAAGCCCCAAAGTCCAGAGGATCGGCCGTCCACCGCCTTTGCCTCGGACGCTTATTGCTGCTGCTGCTGCTGCTGCTCCTTGTCGTCATCGTCGTTGCCGCGGCTGCTGCCGTTGCACCATTCCGTGAGGAACTTGAGCCAGATGTTGCGCGCGCCGTTCCAGTCCCGGTCCGTGCGGAAACCGCACTGCTCGCACCAGAAGAGCTTGCTCTTGCCCAGGCCGTGGTTGATCCGCCCACACCCGCCACATGTCTTGGACGTGTAGGACTCGTCGACCAGCACCACGCGGCATCCCGACGGGTACTCGCGGATCTTGTGGAGCAGGTGCTGCTTGAACCGAAAGTGCGACCAGGTGAGCATTGCACGCACGGTCTTGGAGTGCAGCCCGCGCCGCTTGCTCTTCCCGACGACCATGTTGCTGGTCTCGTAGTGCGGGTAGATGATGGTCTCAAAAGTCTCGCACAGCCACTTGGCCGCCCGCCGATGGAGGTCGTCGACCAGGTCGCGTATGCGCCGGCGCATACGCGCAGCGGCCCGACGCATCCGGCGGCGCCGCTTCTTTCTAACGTCGCGGTCGGTCGTGCGGCTGACGAGATCGTCGAGGTGGTGGCACAGTCGCCTGATGCGCCCAAAGTCGTTGGCACCCAGCTCGTAGACGCGCGCCTCGTCGGGGCTATAGACCGTGAAGGGCGTCCGCACGCCCGGATCGATGGCGGCAGCAGCGTGTGGCGCGACGGCGGGGGCTTGGTTATCACCCCCTCCCACCGCGTCGGGCTGCTGTTGCTGTATCGGATGCTTCACATCCAGTGGCACCGGTATGGAGATGTAGTACCGCCCGAGCTTGGTGCGCATGACCCGGAACTCGTGGTCCATCTTGGCCGGGAGCGACTCGCTCGAGCGAAGCACGGTGTTGCCAAAGATCGGCGCGTACTCGCCTCGGGTCCGGTTCCAGTCCCTCGAGCGAATGACCACCGTCTCCTGCTGCAGGCGCTTGGCCGACCGAAAGGCGATGTCGAACTTGCCCCGCCCGTGTGCCTGGACCGCGTTCTTGTAGGCCGTAACGAACTGGCCCACGGCCTGGTCGCGGAGGTCGTGGGGCGTCTCGAACACCCACGAGATACCAACGTCGTCGTCGTCGCCGCCGCCGCCGACCCCGCTCTTGGCGCGTTTGATCCGTTCCGCCTCTCGCAGGCCAAACTCGGTCACGAAGCGAGCGCGCAGTGCCTTCTTGGTCGGCGCGCACTGCCGTCCGCGCACGGCGGCGACGCACTGGTTGTAGGTCCAGCGCACGGTGCCGATCCAGCGCTTGAGGAGCGTCTTCTGTTGGGCCGTTGGAAAGACGCATATCTTCCGCGTCTTACCGTCGAAAGCCACCATCCCACCCTCCCCATCACCACCCCCCTCAGCGCCGGCGGTCCCTTCCGCTTCCGCTTCCCTCCGCCGCCGCCGCCTCCTACTCGTCCTTTGCCTTTTTCGCCTCCCGCCACCGTCGTCGCTGCTGCTGCTGCTGCTGCTGCCGTCTGTCTCATCTCGTTCGCTTTCCTCGCTGCCGCCTCGTTCCTCGCTTTCTTCCTCAGAAGGCTCGCTTGTCGTGCTTCCTCGGCCTTCCTCCAGGGCTGCTCGATCGCGGCGTGCTCTTCGATGCGCCGCAGAGCGGAGGCCATTTTGTCGCGCCACAAAGAAGGTGGTGACGGCGATGAGGTCGTCGGCCAGCTCGCGCTGTGGATCGAGGGCGTCGAGAGTGGCGGCCGCAGCTGGATCGCCCTGGCCGACCACCACGAGCCGGACGTCGTGGCGCTTAAACACGTGCTCCAGCAGCTCCGTGGCAAAGCGAGCGAGTCGGTCTCGGTGCAGCACGGCGACCTCGTCGACCAGGCCCGCGAAGCATCGGTCCAGAATGGCGCAGAGACCCTTGCGCCGGAAGTTGAGGCCACTAGCCACTTCGGAGACGATCTCGTGGTCGGGGCAGAGGCGTCGGAGCTCGGCGATTTGGCGCTCGAGGTCGGGCCGCTGCTTCTCGCTCGAGACCCTGGCGTAGGCGATGCGCTTGCGGGGTGGCCTCGTCGTGGTCTGGATGGTGCGTCCATCCTCGGAGCGCGTGACTGCGGGGAATTGAGAGAGGAGGTCGCCGCAGTGGTAGAGCCGCTTGCCCTTGTCGCCGATGCGGCGCGTGCGCAGGTTGCCCCGATCGGCCAACTTGCGCAGGCAGGCTGCCGTCACGCCAAAGTATTTGGTGGCCTCGCTTGACGGCACGTAGGTGTCTCCACCGGCCTCGATGAGCTGGCGGGTCCGGTGCCTGACGATTGCGGTGTTGCGCGGATTGTGGAGCCACGGGCGTTCGTTGGTCTCGCCCAGAGGGCCTTGCATAGGTGTCTGTCTGTGACTCGGTTTGGTGCGAAGTGTTGTGTTTCTTTGCGAGGTGCTGACTATTTAAGGGCTCGTCCTGCAGTTTTTTTGGTTGGGCACGGAATTACTCCCTCTGGCCTGTTTGTGCTTGTCACCACCGCAAATTTCTGTGAGGAAATTGGTAAAGAAAAGGCCTCACCACAACCAAGGATGGATGATGCACAGCTGCCTTGCTTACTGCTCTTCCCCAGTCGCCCCGTCCACACTGCATGGCCGCCTCGCCCATGGCTGCCTTGCCCATGGCCGCCTTGCGCAGGGCCGCCTCGCCCATGGCCGCCTCGTGCCTTCCCACCTCGGCCTCTGTGTGCATGGCCACATTGCCCACCACCTTGAAAATAGCTACCTCGCCTTGAGCTGCCTTGCCAACAGGGACAATCTGATGACCCTGCCACAAGTGGTTCTGCTCAGTCCGCGCTCTCCAAACTACTTGGCCACAACTACACAACACTGGATACTTGTGGCCTCTCATCCTCGGCAGTGCAACGTACACTTGCATAAATGATTTTAAAATTAATTTCCTTCTGCTCTGGCATCCCATGAATCCGACCCCGGTGTCATTCAGTTTTCTGGCATCCCATGAATCCGACCCCGGTGCACACGAAATTTCCAAATTGGATGAAATTTCAAGTCGGATGACTAAACTCTAGGACGAGGCCTTAAAGCCACGCCTGATGCTACGTGTAGGTTTTGGTCGGTCCGACGGCTGTCTACGAAAACTCGTTTATTTATTTATCCGGTTTTTGTTGGGACTGCCCAGTAATGTTTAGGACTCGAACGGTTCGTCAGCCCCAAAGAGGTCGTCGTCGTCGCTTTGCTCCTCTTCCTGCTCTTCCTCTTCTTCGTTGCGCCTCCCTGCTCCAAACTTGGCTTCGATCGCTCTCTTCAGCACTGCACACGACATGCACGCGGCGCAAAGAGCACGTCAGCCTCTTTTCAGAGAAAGAATACATGATTACGGATGGCGAGGAGGAGGAGGAACAAACCGTCGGCCAGGTCTTCCTGCTGCTCTTGGGGCATATCTTCCGGCCTCCCTGGCAGCTCCTTGGGTGGGCAAGGCCTGGGGGTGTACTGATAATGACCACCCTCGGGCGGGGGCGGGGGCGGCGCAACCGCGGGCGTATCTCTTCCGTCGATCGGCGGCTCCACGTCTCCAGTTGTGACACCACCGGAGGGCGGTGCGGGCGGCACAGCCCCGTGCTGCTGCTGCTGCTGCTGCAACTCAGCACTGAGCCGGAGTTTGTTCTTCAGCTCCTGAGAGCTCGTCAATTGCGATCGTAGCTTGTTGCTATCGGGCCTCGGTGCTGTGGTGAGCACGGATATCACCACAAAGTCAGTCAGCCTACGAGCCGAACCACGAGATTCTAGAATGATGCGCATCATGGCATTGCGCGTCAATCGGGTGGGACAACTTACGGACAGGCAGGGGGACAGTGACGGCACTGCCACGGCCTACGTGGTGGGCGGCAACGGAGAGTAGTTGGGCGGCGTTCTTGTCGACCTCCTCCGCACTGATGTTGAGAGTGCGTTGGAAATACTGGAGGTAAAGAGAGAGAGAGAGATCAGACCTGCTTGAAAGAGGCTTTGCCTCGGTAAGCAACGTAACAAGGTGGTGTGCGTACCGTCCGCCAAGCTGGGTTCTGGTCAAGCCACGCGAGAGGAGTACAGCCCTGTGTTCAAGGGGTTGGTTGATGCAATCAAGCGCCTAGATGCGAGAGGAGGGAAAGGCATAAAGAAATTTTCAGGAAAGTACCCAGAAACCGAACTCGCCATTGGAGAAGCCCATGTGCGACTCATGCTTGAAGCCAGAGGGAGAGGAGATCGCCATAGCCTGCTCCGGCTTCCTCTGTCATGGTGTATTTGAAAAAATAAAAATACAAAATTGAAGTTTAGTGAGAAAGAACCACCAATAAGCGCACCCTGATGAGTATATACCTCCTTCTTGGCACCCCTCCATGAGGTGAAGGTGCCCAATCCGGTCCTCCAGACCTTCTTGAAGGTCGAGGGCCGCATGCGGTACTGCTTCTTGTTGATCGCTTCCTTCACAGCCGCGTGGAAGCGGGCCGCGTCCTGCTCGAGGGCAAATGATACGCCCACTGACGACGCAAACGTATGGGCACGCGTCAGTACCACCACCCACCCACCAGGCAGGCAGGCAGGCAGGCACAGAATCGAAGTACGTACAAATGGAGTTATCACTCTCAAAGGTGTGGAAGTAGGGCGTCGCCTGCAGGTACTCGAAGCCTTCATAGAGCTCCTGCGTGAAGAACCTTGTGCCGGTCTGTTCAAAAGAGGAAGCTAGTCGTGTTGGTTACCCCAAACCTGCTGTGGTCCACCACCAGAACGGAGGGAGGAAGGTACCTGGAGGTCCAGCAGCTGAAGGTAGAGGGTCTTGGTGGGCTCGTGGGCAAAGAAGGTCCACACGCCCACCAAGCCAGTCTCCTCCCACTGTGCCCTTTCCGGGCGGGACACATAGATCTTTGTCACCCCAGCCGCAAAAACCTAAATCATCAAAATAGATTATGGTTAATCATAATCCACATCAATCAATCAATATTAATAGCAATGCTCGTGTGATGGGCACAAACGAAGGATCGAAGAGGTTGCTGAACGAACCTGAAATGCTGGGCCAAGGAAACCGTTCTTGAGTTGATTGATCTCTTCGGGAGTGAGTGACGCAGAGTACATCTTCTAGGCTGGGTTTCGTGTGTTGTGAACGTTTCTTTCTTCTTGGCCTTCGTTTTGTTGTTGCTTCTGTGTGCTGGGTTCGGCGAAAGGGAGAGGGGGCGAAAATCGAGCTTGTGCTTGTTTCGTTTCTTGCTACCTTTTCCTTCCTACCCCTACTACTCGCTCAGCGTCGGCGGGGCAGTGAAGTCGTAATGGAGCATCAGTGCATCGACGTACTCGCCGTGCGCCAGGAGCCCGGCCTGGGGAATGCGCCCAATCTGCTTGAAGCCCAGCGAGCGCCACAATCGCACCGAGGGCACGTTGGACTCGAACACAAGGTTAAACATGGCTGTGGTGTGATGCCAACAACATAAGAGTAAGTGTAAGCCTTTTGGGTAGGCGTGGTCGTGATGTTGTCACCGTCACGCTGTGCAGGAGGTAGGACACACACATACACACACACACACACGCAGGGAGAAAAGGCAAACCCGCGCGATAGCCCAACTGGGGCGCAAGGGAGAGGAATGCCTTGCCCATGGCCTTGCCTACTCCTTTGCCTTGTGCTGACGGCTTGGTAATAAAACCGCCGTTGCAGATGTGACCGCACCGCCCTGGCGTAAATGGAGTGATCGTTTTCAGATACTACTTGGGTGTCTGATGGCAGAATGATGGTGTGGCAGACGACTGACCTGGGAAGTTGGGCTTGATGTAGAAGGTACCCAACACCTCCTGCGTGTTAGGGTCTCTGTTTAGAGCCAGGCATTCCACATTGTGTGTCAATCAGATTGCACCAAGCTGGACCTGGGTAAAATCGAAGGAGGGATAACCTGGCTACAAAAGCGTCATGGCTGAGGAAGTAGGCCCGGAAGCCCACTTCGTCCAGTGTGCTCAGTTGCGGGTATGTCATACCTGCACTTGCTCAGGTCTCAGAAGAAAACAATACAAAAAAACCGACGAGAAAAGAAGAAAATAGGAAAAGGAGAAAGAGAGGGGCAGGTGCCTTCGGAAATGACATGGTTGAGGAAGCCGCGGAGAGTCTCAAGTTCCTCTTCACGTGCGCGATCGATTTCGACCACTCCCACGCCATCCCCTCCGGCTAGGTTGTCCGTCGTAGTTGTCTTCAAATCTGCTGCGAGAGCAAAGCGGAGTGGGAGACACTCAAGGTGACGCTTCTCGTTCTTTGCTTCAATGACGTATGCCATTGCCGTTTGGGTTGTCAGTGGCTCTCGCCTTGGGGCCGAGCGAGTGTAGTACTATTTTAAAGATTGGGACAGAGTCGCAAAACTTGTTTTGCGTTCTTTTTTAAATGAAAAGATTTTTTTTTAAAGCCTGACTTCTTCAGGCCTGTGTTGACCTCTCGGTGCTCAGTGTGGCCTCTCGGTGCGTGATACGGCTTTGTGCTCAAAGAAGGACTTCATCTTTTGGACACCTTGGAGGTAGTCTTCGTTCTTTTGAAGGACCAGACGGAGAACCAACACGAAAGAAAAACGTGTTAGCGCTTGTGCCCGCAGTGGCGCGGTGGCGTGGATTGGGGTCTCGCGCACCTTGGAGGCGAACTTGAGGATGGAAGCACAAGCAGAGCACGTGGCGATGGTGTTATAGAAGTAGGCCAGTTGATGGAACTTGGCTCCGGGGTATTCATCGCCGAACTGCTTGTAGATCATGTGCACCTTGATGAAAGCAGTCCTCTCCAGGTAGAACCCCACAAGCAGCTTGAGGTCCTTGTCTAACGTGCGCGGGTCTTCCCGTAATGGGACTTTGAGGCCTTTGGCCTTGCGCCGGCTATCATTGACCTCAAGCAAGAAGATCTGAAGTGGTGCAGACGCGCCACTTGGTCAGAGGCCGGGCCTTCTTCTTGTCGCGCGAGCTTAGCCGATCAGTGGTACCTTGGCAAGATAATGCAAACCATTGATGATTGTCGAATTATCCGCCCCAGTTGATATGCAATCGAGTAATTGCTCCAGGCACTGATGGTCTTCGATGAGCACCACAAACACTGTGCCCGTCGCGCGTTTTCAATGCACGGCCCAGATGGATTGCGGCAACGTACCTTGTTGGCAATGAGCACTTCCACTGTACCGGGATGGTGCTTAATGGTCGTGTAAACGACTTTCCACGCCGCTTTGCAAATGCCCATATCCGAGCCGTCACGACAGAGCTGCACCAGCCTGAAGGGAGCGAACGCGGTGAGCAGGGCTAAGCATTGACAAGCGGCCCCCTCGGGAGGGGGGCAGGGAGCGATGTGAGAGGCGGCGTTGGGATGCATACTTGGCCCAGAACGTTTTCTCACGTTTCACCAGAGTATACATCGAGGCCGGTTGGAGAAGAGCATGCAGGCACCGCAACATGTCTAACGGCGCCCAATATGGTGAGCGCGCTCTTATGGATGAGAATGGAGGGCGAAGGAGGGAAAGATCTTACTTGCTTTCGAGAGCTTCAGCGGAGCCGATGTTGATCCCGGCCGCGAGGTGATAAATGCGATGACCGCCGTTAATTCTGCGCGCGCACAAAGAAGAGTGGATGTTAGTCAAGAGTCCTCATCCACTCCATGGAGAAAGGCTCGAGCCGGAGAGGTACCTGGAGGATTAAGCACCAGCCCGTGGCCAGACAGTGGGTCTCCGGTGATGGACACCTAAAACCAGAAACAACACGTAAATTCTGGGAACCAGAAAAGTTATGCTCCGCTTGAACGGGCCACGTTGGTACCCTCTCTGCTCTGCTCCGAGTGGAGCCGGATATGAGGCCCAGGTGAAGCAGTGTGACGCTTAATTCGGCTAGCAGTTCCGTCACCAGTTCCACCGTCTGCGCAAGGACGTCAGCAAAGGAGGCGATACCAATGAGGGGAAGGTTAAAAAAGGAGACCTACCTGCGTCTCCGGCATTTCAGAGGCGAAAGCGAGCAAACGCTTGAAGAGCGACCCTTTCAACACGAACGCGTATTTCAGCAGTATCTGACAAAAGACCAACACACATGGTGAGTGCCAGAGAGCCACACAGTACCAGCGCTCATGATGTGTACCGTATGTGTCGGTCCTTTGGCTGCCCTTGCTCCCTGGGTTGCTCTCTTGCACATTTGCCCGGTCAAGAGCGAGATCAGTGACGGAGTAAACTCGCCCTTGATGGATGGGTGGGTATTTGAGGGAACATCTCAATTAGTTTTCCCACTTAGCCCAACCCTAGCGAGCTGTGGCCCTTGTAAGTACCTTGGAGATCCAGGGCCGTCGTTCCATTTGCGCTCTCGCAAATTCAGAGGGCTCCGTGAGATCCTGCCCGCCGCCGCCGCCGCCGCCCGAGTGTGTCAGGTGGCAGGAACACTCCTTGAGGTAAGTGTGACTAACGGCGGTACCTCGAATAGGGCTGTCTCATTTCGCGTGTAGTAACTGTACAGTACGGGAGTCCAATCCTCGCTCATCAATATGTCAAATATCCGTATGACGGCGTACTGGTGGATCAACAGCAGCAGCAGCAACAACATGGTGAGGATCAACTAAGGCGCGGCCTAAGGAGGAAGACAGGTACTTACCCGAATGTGAGCCACCTTGGATCTTGAGAGATCCCTCAGGGAAGGGAGGAGTTGTGCTTCGTCAGCAGCCACTGCTCTCTGTTCGACAGGCCAGTTTGTGCGCCCGTGAGGTGCAACGAGGGTGAGGAACCGCCATGAAACGAATGACAAGAGATAGAGAGCGTTCATACCCGCACGCCTGCGGACTCATGTCGCATGAGCTGCACCCATACGAAGAGCCAGACGGCACTGAGACGAGACGACTGGGATTGGATTCCTGAGATCGCATAAGAGTTGTGGTGTCAGCCAGGCCTGAATTTCTTCCTCTGTCAAGTCGAACGAAGCCGCTTAAAGGTACCATTTACAATATCGGTGTGCAGAAACTCATAGTTGCGTTGCACCAGCAGCTGCTCCAGAGTCTCCCGAGCTCTCTGTCCACGAGAAATGCCGTTAAACTCCTTCATCTCCAGTTGCTCACGTGTGAGGGGAACCTTGATGGTTTTGCCTAGCCTCTTGAAGATTGCAAGGTAGGTGAACTTCTGGTTGCTGACTGTCGCAAACGTGGCTTTGAGGTAGTAGTGGAGAAAGAAGGCGTCGAAGAGAGGCTCCACAAAAGTTCGTCGTCGTTCGTCCTCTTTGGGCTAATGAGACGTGGAGAGGGTGTGGTTTCAATCTCAAGAAGAAACAAGAGATAGGGCGACGGAGGGTGTACCCCCAGCACAGATTCCATGGTCGTAGCTCGATATGGCCAGAGTGCTACTGACACTTCGTTGAAGAAGGTCATGGCGTGCGCCAGATGGTACACTCCAGCTCTATCTGCTCGACACCTCGGGTTAGTAAAAGCAAGGGAGCAGTACCTCACAAAGTTCGTTGGGCAATGCGTCGCACCGTTTGTGGAGAAGATGCTACCCAGCACTGCTTTGGCCTTGTTGGATTGCATCACTTGCGCCACGAAGAAGGCCAGCTGG